AGGCAGCAGACTAGGACCTCATCCAGCTACAACGCTCTCCCACATAGAGCTCCGCGACTCCGGCCACACTCAGCTCTCTGCTCTGCTCCAAGCTCCGTCTTAACGTCTACGACACTGCTGTATCCAGGACTACTAAATAAATATGAAACTCACTAAACACTGTGTATCTAATCTACCCAACAACGTAATATAATCGTACGTTACAAATATATACAATAACAGACTAACAAACATAACAACCCAATGTTCCTGACACAACACTAGATGATATTAAATTATTGCTTTTACTTGACTTAAGATATTACTCGTTAATGCCAATTTAATTGATTTTGACTTATTGAAATATGAACATTTATGTTTTATAATAACTATTACCGTCCAGGATGACATTGTTCAGAATATTATTGTGCACAAGTGTCGTCCTCGACGATCACCAGGTGACGCCGGACGGGTCCTCGAGGCTCCTCTCGTCTTCAGAACAAAACTTCCCGTCACCTTCCTCGCTCTTCCTGTCTCCGTCTCCCCCAAGGTACTCCTCGAGCGCCTGGAGTACAAGTCTCAAGACGAGTCTTATAGGATGTCAGACGGTTCCCAGCTCCTTCCTACACGCCCTCTACAGCTCCAGCCTCTTCAGTTCTGCCTGTTAGAGCTGTATGTTTACCTGGAGATTTATAAGGTTATAACTGTCTTATGGTAACCTCCACCTCAGACGACCACAGCCAGGCAGTAAGGAAGGCAACGAAGACCTTCTCGGGGCACTAAAGAACATCTACAACGATGAGATAATATAACACAACATTGCCTCTCACCTCATCAAGTCTGTCACGTGACACCAGTCACTGATGTTGATGTCTCTCGTCGGTTTTGTCTCTCAAGTCTTCCTACTAAAGAACCTGTACACTGAACATTGATACCTTCAACACTGCCAGTGTATCCTCAGGATGGATACACTGGCTAGGGCTAGTTGTGGATAGGGTCCACAACTAGTCACTCGATGGGTATGGGGTCCACTACCACTCCTGGGATGGGTATGGGGTCCACTACCACCCCTAGGATGGGTATGGGGTCCACTACTACCCCTAGAATGGGTATGGGGTCCTGTTGGTGGTCCTGTTAACCTGTTGGATAAATATGCGTCCCACTGCCGTCCCACATCTGGTTGCGGTAATGGACCCCATACCAATCCTGTGGATGGCAGTGGACTCTATACCCATGCTATGGACGGCAGTAGGCCCAATACCTATCCTACAGGTAGTAGTGGTCCCCGTACCCCACCGTGTGGGCGGTAGTGGACCCCATACCCATCCTGTTGGTGATATAACGCCAACAGGATGGGCATGGGGTCCACTGTAGTGGACTCAATATCCATCCTCTTGGTGGTATGTGACCCCATACCCATCCAGTGGGTGATAGTGATCCCCGTACCCATTCTGAGAACACCAGTGGACCCCATACCCATCCAACAGGTGGTAATGGACCCCATACCAATCCTTTTGGGTGGGAATGGCCCGATCACATAAACATTGTGTGACTTATTGTATGGTTGACATCGTATCATGGTTGTTGTATTGAGTGCATATTCTACTGCATTACTCCTTGTAATGATCCTCATATTGTGCTTCACTGATCCAATGTATAACCCTGAGATGTTTTCCTAATTGTACTTAGGTTTCCTTGTTCATTATTGTGTATTGTTCTGATCTGCTTTTGTGTCAAAAATTCTTGCAATGTACCTGTAAACATTTTGTTGACAATTTTACTGTAATGATCCTACTTAAAATCATCTGTACTTGTAAAGTAAAGCTGTAAAGTACCTATTCAACACTTTTTATTAATTTTACTCTTATTTCTCTAAAACTTTGTTAGTTTAAGGACTAGCCCGAAACGCTATGCGTGCTAGTGGCTTTACAAGATTGTAATTTTAACTTAAACTCTATGTTCTCTCTTAACCCTCAATGTACTTTCTTGTATACATATAAATAAATATATATATGTTGTGGACGCTATGTCTATCCTGTTTGCAATAGTGTACCCCATATATTCCAACGTCACATTGTTTTCTGTTGACGTCCCTACAACCCATTCTCTAAGATTTTCTAAGCGTACACTATTATATATAATGTTGTTTAGCAAAAGCATCATTGTTATATGTAATAATTTATAGTGCTTATTATAATTAACTGAGAAGCCCCAAGATTTCTCCGTGCCGTCCTCTGTGCTCAGTCCCACAAGATGTCCGTGCCGTCCTCTGTGCTCAGTCCCACAAGGTCTCCGTGCCGTCCTCTGTGCTCAGTCCCACAAGGTCTCCGTGCCCCCCTCTGTGCTCAGTCCCACAAGGTCTCCGTGCCCCCCTCTGTGCTCAGTCCCACAAGGTGTCCGTGCCGTCCTCTGTGCTCAGTCCCACAAGGTCTCCGTGCTCAGTCCAACAAGGTCTCCGTGCCGTCCTCTGTGCTCAGTCCCACATGGTCTCTGTGCCGTCCTCTGTGCTCAGTCCTACAAGGTCTCCGTGCCGTCCTCTGTGCTCAGTCCCACAAGGTCTCTGTGCTCAGTCCCACAAGGTCTCTGTGCTCAGTCCCACAAGGTCTCTGTGCTCAGTCCCACAAGGTCTCTGTGCTCAGTCCCACAAGGTCTCTGTGCTCAGTCCCACAAGGTCTCTGTGCTCAGTCCCACAAGGTCTCTGTGCTCAGTCCCACAAGGTCTCTGTGCTCAGTCCCACAAGGTCTCTGTGCCGTCCTCTGTGCTCAGTCCAACAAGGTCTCCGTGCCGTCCTCTGTGCTCAGTTACACAAGGTCTCTGTGCTCAGTCCCACAAGGTCTCTGTGCTCAGTCCAACAAGGTCTCCGTGCCGTCCTCTGTGCTCAGTCCCACACGATCTCCGTGCCGTCCTCTGTGCTCAGTCCTACAAGGTCTCCGTGCCGTCCTCTGTGCTCAGTCCTACAAGGTCTCCGTGCTTAGTCCAACAAGGTCTCCGTGCCGTCCTCTGTGCTCAGTCCCTTATGGTCTCTGTGCCGTCCTCTGTGCTCAGTCCCACAAGGTCTCTGTGCTCAGTCTAACAAGGTCTCCGTGCCGTCCTCTGTGCTCAGTCCCACATGGTCTCCGTGCCGTCCTCTGTGCTCAATCCTACAAGGTCTCCGTGCCGTCCTCTGTGCTCAGTCCTACAAGGTCTCCATGCCGTCCTCTGTGCTCAGTCCCACACGGCCTCCGTGCCATCCTCTGTGCTCATTCCCACAAAGTATTGTATATACATATTCTATAGTATATATTATAATTTGGTGCCAATTTAAATATTTACAGATAATAATTCATAGAATAATTATTATAATATAATGAGAACTGCCAAAATTTATCAAAACTAAACTACGAGCCTTCAATAGGATGTAGCCGATCCATGATTTTTTAATAAGATGTTAAATATTACCCAAATTTCTCCATCAGAAACTTGTGTAAGTAATCATTCAGAACCTTGTATACCTCATATTGTCAGACCAATACTGGAATGTGCAGCTCCAGCCTGGAGTCCACATCTAGTCAAACACAAACTGAAGTTAGAAAAGGTTAAGAGGTATGCCACCAGGCTAGTTCATGAGCTGAGAGGTATGTGCTGTGAGGAAAGATTGCTGGAATTGAACCTCACAACACTGGAAGACAGAAGAGTTAGGGGAGACATGATGACTACCTATAAAATTCTCAGAGGAATTGACAGAGTAGATGAAGATAAACTGTTTAGCACAGCTGGGACATAAGTGGAAACCTAGTACTGTACTCAAATGAGCTACAGGGTCATTAGAAAGAGTTTTTTCAGTGTCAAGAGTAGTTAACAGATGGAATGCATTAGGCAGTGATGTGGTGGAGGCTGACTCCATACACAGTTTCAAGTGTAGATATGATAGAGCCCAGTAGGCTAAGAAATCCATAAACCAGTTGATTGACAGTTAAAGAGTCCAGTTTACAGTCCCCGTGGCGTAGTGGCATGACGCACACCTGGTATTTCGCGAGCGCTTTGGCCTGGGTTTGTATCCTGAACGGGGAAGATTTACTGGGCTCAAATCCTAAACTGAAGCCTCTGTTTACCCAACAGTAAAATGGGTAGCTGGTTGTTAACAGATTTGACAGGTCGTATTCCAGGGAAAATTAGGATTAGGGGACCTGCCCGAAATGCTGTGCGTGCTAGTGACTGTACAAGAGTGTAACAACTCTTGTACATATATAAATAAAAAAAAAATAATAGAGAGGGGCAGGACCAGAGAGCCAAAACTCAACCCCCATAAGCACAACTAGGCAAGTACACCAGAAGTGGGAATGGAAAATTACAATTATCATTCAAATTTGAGCAAACTGACTATTATGCTGTCTATAGCGATTGGATGGGTACTATGGGGCATACTAGGCTACCTGAGAAAGGGTTGGTGTCTGGTGATAGCTAATAACTGTAAATCTGTAAATGTTCACAGGGAAACTGTGAACATTAGCAGCATAGGACCTATGAGCATTATGTGACATAAGTACTATGGTATACCGAGGACAGGTCGACTTCTTTCTCTCCCCTTCGACGTCTTGATGCTCTGCACCATGTTGGGTTGTGCCTCAGCTTCAGTGCCTTTCATTCATCCCATACCCAGAGCTTGTATATTGAAGCCGCCTTCTCGTCGCTACAGGATCGTCGGGTTCATTACTGCCTATGGTACATCACAAGTTCTGCACCATCCTCATTCTCATTCCACCACCTTCCTTTTACTATGAAGATGTTTCTCATACAAGCTTCCCTTTTCGTTTGTGTTTGCAATGTATGTTCTATAATAAAATTTAACTTAAATAAAACTTTAATATTTTGTCCTTCACAATACAAGTAACAAGGTGTCAGGAAGTACTTGCATAGAATGATAGTACTATACCCATTATCTATTCTTTACTCAAAATACAAAGCCATATATTTATATTTAAATTTAACACTTGGGTTTTTATTGACAGTTTTAATATTAGGAATCAAAATAATACATTGTATTTATAAACACTTATTTAATATAAACTTCTCATAAATTGCATCAAGTTGACAACTTGCCATCTGTGTAAATAAATCCTATACTGTAAACCCCTTACTTTTTAACATAAAAATCGGTAATTCTTGACACGAAGTCAAAACTGAAGAACTGGCAAAGGTTTATCACTTGAAAGGATTTTTACCCATGCCCATAGGTCCCCCGCCCTGCTGGAGCTGTTTCATCATGGACTCGAGACCCTTGAAGCCTCCCATCTGCTGCAGCACGCGCGGGTCCATCATCTTGGCCATCTGCTGGTTTAGTTGGTTCATCTGCATTTGGTTCACGTTCTTCGACATGTCTCCTCCTAGATAACAAATTGCACAAGTTAACTGTGATAATTAACTTGTGTTATTGTATTCTACATTACATGTAACATAGCATCTATAAATACATTTAAATTATGTAACTATAATCATATGAAATATAATTATTATACACAAACTTAAATCCTTTCTAGCATCTAGGATAGAAGATTATCATATTTCTATGGGTGATAAGAATATTATGATATAACAGGGTGATAAGATATGTTATTGCTAATTATTGCTTCACTGTAATTTGCCATTTTTATTAACTTGAGCAATGATGGTGTTTGCACCATATGAGAGTGGTATAAGCTATTGACTCCCTGTTGACAGATGAATACTCTTTATACTAAAATTGAAGCTATTAAAATTGGTTGTAGTGTCTTCATTCTGTGTCAACTAATGTTTCAACCACTATGTAACAGTGCATCCTATTAAAGGATAGCACTTAGGAGAAATCTTGGCACTTCTCAGTAAATTATAATAAGTGTTTCTTTATAAATTATTACATATAATAATGGCATTTTTGCCAAACATCATCATATACAATAGTGTTTGCTTTGAAAAATTTAAAGAGAATGGGTTGCAGGAATGCCTATGGGGTACACATACTGCAAACAGTATATTATAAGGTTCACAAGTCACACGATGTTTATGAGGTTCATTGCCACCCACTGGATGGGTATGGGGTCCAATACACATACATGGGATGGGTATCGGGTCCTCTACCGCCCACACAATAAGTATGCGGTAACGAGAGCGGTATGGTATGTGTCCATTTCCAGATATGGGATGGGTATGGGGGTCCACTGCCTCCCACAGGAAGGACACTGGGTGAACTACAACTCACAGGATGAGTATGGGGTCCATTACTACCCACAGGATGGGTATGGGGTCCATTACTACCCACAGGATGGGTATGGGGTTTAAGAATTTTGTTCTCAAGTGAATAGCATGATGTATCATGATTTTAGGCACAAAGGCATCAAATACTGAAGAATGAGTTGCTGCCATCCAGCTGGGCAGATGGCAGTATCAGGCACAGGCAGTTATTGCTACCAAACATCCCCAAAACATTAATAAACACTATAAGCCATACACCAAATACATCTGCTCTGCCCTTTTATGGTTTGGGAAGTTTATGGTTTATAGTTTGTATATTAATACAGATTAATATACAGGATATATGCTACTCCCCAATATGCAACATTCTAAAATTTCCTGGACTTTCCAGGTTACTTACCTTTAAAGAGGCCTTTCATCCCACCCATTTTCTTAACCATCTGGGCAAACTTTGCGTACTGGTTAAGTAGATCCTTCACTTCAATCTCCATCACTCCGGCTCCCCGAGCAACTCTACTTATACGATTTCCCTGCCTTTGGAAGAGTTTGTTTCCATCAAGACTGTCCAGCTCTGTGTGAGATCAAAATATTGTATCAAATTTTGTTTATCCCTTCTAGTCAGTCACATCTGCTATAAACAAGCACTAAATTTGCTGCTGTTTTCTGCATGCATTCCTGTCAGGAAAGGCATCTAGTTAGTTGTCTACCTCAGAAATTTCTTGCTCAATCATAGAGTTTGAAATAAGTGAACAGTACTGTATCTATGAACTAAACATTCAGCCATTGTACAATCAAAACAAAATAAATCAAACTGCTTGAAGATACAATAAAGAAACAGAGAACAGTATTAAACAGCCAAGAAACCTTTTCTTTTGTATATTTATAATAAATAAATTCAGTGTATTCCATTATTGAGGTCCAGAAGAGCATCTGGAAGTGGAGTTATGTTTACAGTACAATCACTTCAGTGCAGAGCTTTGTCATACATGACTCCATTCACACCACAATACCTGCTATATGGAATGCCCTTTCTTAAAAATCTCATTTAACCTTTTAAAAGAATTGGTACACCATTCCGAGAAACAAATGCCTTTGACATCTGTACTGTATTTCCTACTAAAATGTAATTTCTAAAAAGTAAAATGGAATGAAAGCATAGCACACACACACAAAGCTTGCAAACAGTAAAAATTGAGGTGGTTTGATTGCTCATATAAAATAGTAACAAGAATTGACAAAATTGACAAAGAGGATTTTTTTTAACCTGTAACTTGAAGATCATCAGGTCATAGAGTCAAGCTAAGGTAACAAAGGTGCCCAAAACAATTATAAAGTTTTGTTTTGCAAACAGTGGTAAATGGTTAGAACAAGTTAAGTAAGGTGGAGGATGCCAAAACTGTCGGCAGTTTTAAAGTGTCATATGACAGAGTACTGGGAAGACATGACATGTCAAGCATACCTTTCATCCTGTAACTGTACTTGGGTAATTACACACATACATCTGAGGAACAAAAGACATACTACTGTTAAATCAGTACTGTACTGCACATTTTCATTATACTGTAGCTAGACATGTGTCACAATCACATTACAACCCCTAAGTATCATCACTATCTGTCACAGATACTACATTGTGTACAACATGCTCAGACTTTCTGCAGGAACAACATGTAACCCACGATTGTATTCTTGGTTGTATTCAATTGTATTTCCAGCACACATCACCTAGATATGTGCTGGAAAAAGAGACATTAGCAGTCACAGCCAACTGTTCACTTTGTCTTAACACTTTCGCGCTCTCGGCGCTCAAAAAAAATCAATACCCCAGATGCTTTCGGCACTTCGCGTGCCTACGCGGTAAGACCGAAAAAGTATACACTCTTTTGACTGTCCTGACAATAATTGAAGGCGCACGTATTTAAATTTGGTATCACTGTGTTCGCAATGAAATTGTCTATAAGAGCATACCTATAAAATGCCGCCCAAGCATAAGGAGTATCAACACCAAATAAAAAACTATGCAGATCACTCGCTGAGAGCGCCAAACAGCAACAAAATGTTTCCACTCTCTTAATGGTTGTGAAGCCTACAGTTGTCCTACATCGCTAATTTTGGTATCATTGGAATCGCAATAAAATTCTCTACACGGACATATGCATATGAATGTTTAATATAGGTAATTGCCCACCCGCAAGAGTGTGTGAAGTGGAGAGTAGTTAGCCGCGAGCGCACTGGCGAAAACACGGGGGAAATCATGCTTGAAAAGTTTATACATTTATACGTTTCCTGACCCTACTTTTCTATGTACGTATTTCTTTTTTATACCAATGTGTTCGCAATAAAATTTTCTATAAGATGAAATGTATAACATTTGTACAAAGCATGTGTAAGAGAAGCGCCAAATATAGAACCACGTCGCTCAGTATGCGTTTGCGGCAGAAACGAACACATTGTTTTCGTTCGTTTGATGTTTGTCATGTTTATACTTGTTGAAACATTTTATAATTTGTATGACAGTGATCGCAGTAAAATTCCCTACACAGACATATACATAACATCCATTTTGGTTAAAAAATGGAATTTATAGAAATATTTTTTCGATGGACGAGAAAAGTAGGCTGTTATGCGGAATCGTAAGAAAAAACGGTGACGAGTTATCTCTAATCTAAAGCGCGAAAGTGTTAATATATTTAAATATTTATTGTACCGGTCTTAAGCCAAATAAAGATTTTTAATTTCATCAGAATCTGATTTTCTGTTTGAATGGAGAAGAAAATAATTTATATGATTGACTTGCAAGAGGGAGTAAAGAGCTATACGAACATGTTGGCAGATGATACAAAAATCTTGTGTCATGTAAAGTGTATATCAAAACCCTTCAATACTTAGATAATCTATGCAAATGAGGTACAAAATGGATGATGGAATTCAATGCAGATAAATAAAATATAAAGGAAACTGAGGGGAACAACAATAGGTTGTATTAAGTACACCCAAGATAGCATGTATTTAGTCTAGGATTGCTTATTTAGGCCTAGGCAAGGTAATGTTGTACAAGTACTGTTCCAGTTCTTGGCCTGCCATTTGGAGTTTTATTATAGAACAGAACAAACTTATTTTGGATACAACAGTCCACTTGTATATGTTCCATCAATATTGTGCTATAAATACTATCAATTTTGGAGGATGGGTTGGTTAGTGCACGGTACCTTCATCTGTCATGCTGTCCATGATGGTCATGAGCCTCTTGAGCCTTGCCATGCTCTCCTGCTCTCCACCTTTTGTCAGGAAGTCCGTACTGAACCCTGGCAACATACCCTGCAACAAACATCACTATTACCACAAGCACCTAAACCTCACCAACATGCCCAACAATATGCACAACTGACCTAAACCATGACACAGGAAATGAGCTTAACTTCAGCAACACACACTAGAATATTTACCAGCACTGGTTAAATTTCTGCCCGAAACGCTTTGCGTAATAGTGGCTTTAGGCATTGTATGTACTAGCTCTATCTATAAAGCCAACAAACTTTGTAAAATCTCTTTATGTATGTACCTTTGCCTAAATAAAAATTATTATTATTATTATTATAAATGGCCTAAACCATGCTGTATATCCCACAATGAACACCCACATTACCAATATAATACCCCAACAAACACAAGAACTATCAAAATAACCTGAATGTTGGTAGTTAAACACAAGTACTTCCCTATTGGTATGAACTTTGTCGATTATATTCTATGCAGGAGGATGCCTCTCCCTAATTCATGTTAGATACTACTAATGATTATAACTGTAGCAGTGTATTCAAGAGCATATGTTAGCATCAATATTACTCAACAAATCTTATCCTAGATGATATATTATGTACCACATATTTTGAGAACCGAGGCTACAAAATCAATAAAAATGTGTTCAATTTAATATACAAGAATTCACCAAAAATTTGTTGCAAAAATTCAATACAAAAATTAAAAAACTGAAGTTTAGTTTCACAGTATCTTGATTACCAGCAGTTCCATATGAATGTAGCCAATGGGATACTGTCTATAGTAGATACTAACTATTCTTACTGCTATAGCTTACTGCTATAACACTCAGCTTCTTACCATTATTTGTGACATGGGACCCATTTTACGAACATTCTGGAACTGTTCATACATGTCTCTGAGGGTGAAGTGGCCGTGTTGTAACTTCTTAATGAGTGCCTCGTTGTCTTCAAGTTTCAAATCATTTACCTGCCAAGAGACAACTCATTTCACTTAAAGTTGTTAAGTCATTTTTAAGAATATGTTATCATAATTACCCATCTGTTTCCAGCTTTCATGAAATTGGGAGGCATCAGCTCCAAAGAAGTAGAAGAGCAAAAGAAAAAAAAGAATACTAATGCCCTCTCCCCCTCAAAAAAAAAAAAAATAAAGTAGCGCATGTCCATCCACCATATCTTCCACACTTCATACGACAGCATCACATACAACTTGCACGGTGCCATTCAAGCTATATATATACAGCATCACCTTGTCAAAGTGACAAGGTGATGCCATTCCCTCAACACCTACTAGCCATCCTGTAAAGCTTAATGAGGCTAGCCCCCAAGAATCTGGCCATCTATCTTAGACAAACAGACATTGTATTTTATAGATATATATAGTACAGTATATTAATCATTCTCTATTAAACTGATTCTAATTTACCTTTTTCCATATGACTGCTCATGCACTGTTCATACTTATTCTCCACTTTCACACGCACTCATATGTCCGGTGGATGGGAACACGTCAAGAGGCATCCCAAAAATACAGGAAAATAAGCCAAAATTCATTCTAAACCATTTGACACAGCTGGGTCCACAGTACTGTACTCGTCAAGAACGTGGGACAAGAAATGTACTCGGACAAAGGTAGGACAACAGGTAACTGCACAGGGAAGTGGGGCAAATCCAATACACAAACCAGGATTAGGACAGAGGATACCTGATCAACCAGGCTGTGACTCATACATCAGGCTGCGAGCAGCCGCGTCTAACAGCCTGGTTGATCAGTCCAGCAACCAGGAGGCCTGGTCGACGACCGGGCCGCGGGGACACTAAGCCCCGGAAGCACCTCAAGGTAACCTCAAGGTAGGAGGGTATGAAAACATATCTTTATGGATAAACAAACCCTCAGGGCAAGGACAAGACAGTGCAGTATCAGATTACAATATTTGTAAAAGATCTGTGATTATATTTGTAAATAAAATCAAATGTGAATGGAGTAAGAATTAAAGATTCATCATTCTACTAAGTGTAGAGGCATATTAGTAACTGGAAGATATATATGATAGCCTAGAATTCATTGATGAACAATGCAGGTCCCACAGTTGGAGAGGCAGCATTGATCAAATATTTGTATTAAGATAGCTAGTAGAAAAGGCATATTAGAATGATTATAAGATATATGTGGCATTTATGGACTTGGTGAAAAGCGTACAATAATGTGGTGAATACTAAACATGTATGTAGTTAGTGGATTATTATTATAGGTTTTTGAGGTGCTTTTATGCAGAGTAGAACATACAAGTTCTAATGGTGTAATGACTGACTGATCTAATATTCATGTAGGAGTACACCAGAACTATGTCATCTTCCAAGGGTTATTCAATGTATGAGAATGAGGTCAAGATGTAGGTCAGGGTTATGATACTAGAAAGGAACTGTGATACTGTGAAAGGAACAAAGGGAGTTTATTAAATCTGATGTATGCAGACAATGCAATTCATATAGCTGATAATTACAAATATATTTAGATTACAGGAGTTGAAAGCTTTGTTGAAATTTGTGAAAGAACACTGATATGAGTGACTGTGGACACTGAAGTAATGGAGGCAGAGAGATAAGGAAACTCAGTTTGTGAGATAAGAGTAAACTGAGAAATTCTAGTAGCAATATCTGGGCTTCTTATACCTGGGCTCTGGAACAAAAGAAGATTTTGGCAGATGTTGAGAGTAAAGTCTGGGAATGAAAGTGTCTGGTACAATAAAAGTCCCAGCTGTTGTTGTTGTTAAAGATTCGCTACCTGGAACAAAAAGTTCCAAGTAGCACAGGCTATGGTCGTCCCAGTTAGTAAGTATATGATAGGGAGAAGTATCTAGAGAGCTACATTAAGGCGTGTCAACCCTTATACTGTATATGCAAGCAAGAAGCTGGTGAGACGTAAGATGGAAATGTTTTAGAAATGGGCAATCTGAGAGAGGAAGATTTGGAGGATTTTAAAGTGAAATCAAAGTGAAATCAAAGAATTCTGAAGAAATCAAAGTGCTCAAAAACATATGGAATACAAAAGTCAGTAAATCATGAGACTGAGAGGAGTCTACTGGGATGATTATATTAAAACTGAATACATGGATTCAATGGATAAAGTGATTAACAAAATGTTTTTGAGTGAATTTAAAGACAGAAGCTTAATAATTTTTGTTTTTACATAGGAGACTTACCTTCTCAATAAGTCCCTCAATATCTCCCATGCCCAGTAACTTTGATATGAATGGCTTAGTTTTAAACTCTTCAAAGTTGTCAATATGTTCACCAGTACCTATAATGAAACATTACATTTCTTTACTTTTCAAATTCAAGTTGGCAAGTAATCTAAAAATGTATGATTAAAAGTATTTCTAACAGCAAGAGAATCCATTCTTTTGAACAAATAGCTATTAAAAGTGAAGAACATTAGTAATGTAGCCATTATTACATATCCTGATCACCTTTAATGACCAGCTCACATCATTGTGCTTGCCTGCTAGCTCCATTATAGCTTGGAATCAAATTGAATACGTTACCATGCATAGTAACTGCAGCATGCATTGGAAGTCAAGTATCTCCCAAGTGATTTGTGCTTGGCCCAAGATGCTGGTAGCAGCCAAACTTGGTAGGAAGACAAAAATGTGAAAGGGCCAAGTGTACCCCTTATCTTTCACTACCAAGTTATACACTTTATGGACTAGAGGCTCAATTAAGAGTTCTAATGACATTTAAAGGGGAATTGAAGATTTACATGGATGCAACCAAAATGTATTAAAAAAAAAGGGGGGGAGAGGGAATTGGGACTATAGGTGTTGGACTTTATTCTGAACTGAAGGAATAGATATAAATGAATTGGAATTCAATTAGTGGAATTTTCCCCTAACTCTGGTCAGCTATAATATAATACAAAGAAAAGCAGTAAGTTTTCCAGGTATCTTTTTATACATATTAATTTGACATGCTTTATGACAGCAGGCAGCCTTCATTTCTTCTACATGTTAAAAACATATATCATTTAAATATGAAAGATTAAAATATTAGAGATGAAATGAAAGATACATACTGTATCTTTCATAAAAAAAAAAGATACATAATGAAAAAAATGAAAAGTGATGATGTTTCAATTCACTTCATACATGTGGGTTGAATTATTTGTTTTCAGCCAAGTTATTGCATTTTAATTCTTTGCATAAAAGACACAACTTTCATTAAATATTAAGTTCTCTCTTTGAACTGACACTCTAGCTGCACTGCCTGATCTGAAATATACATCATAGGAATTATCTTCTTAGTATGGAAATAGCCTTTCTGCACTAACCAATAAAGATAATTGGAGACTGTGTGGCTGCGACAGCAGACAGTGCACCACCACCCTTGGCATGACCGTCCAACTTCGTAATGATGACTGAGCCAACATCTACTTTCTCCTTGAAAGCGCGTGCCTGGGACTCACAAGCTTGACCAATACTTGCATCCATAACAAAGATAATGTTCTCTGGTTTCTGTGGAAATTTTCATACAGTAAAAGATTGTGCCAATGGGTCTGTCGAGTAATATTCTGCAAAACGGTTGTTTACTTCCAATATAGACATAATATTTTCTCACGGCTCTATAAACATGTTCTTCCCTTTAGTAATATAATTATTTTCCTATACCTGTACAGTACAATCTCCTTATTATTACAAAATACAGTACAGTATAAGTATTCAAGCCTTGTCGTATGTACTTACACAAACATTCGAAATCTGCAACATCTCTTCAAACAGGGAATCCTCCTGCTTATGTCGGCCAGAAGTATCTATGATGATTATCTCAAACCCTTCTTTTTTGAACTGTTCCACTCCATCCATTGCAATAACTACTGGATCAACCTCAGTATAGCTGAAAAAAATATATTGCTATGAAAAATATTCATTTCTGCATTCACAATAGATAATAATTACTTGGAAGTGAGCAGCAAACATAAAAATGTTCTTTCACTATAAGCAGACAACAATATCAACACATCAAACTGATATTACTATCAGTTTGATGATACTGATACTGATAAAATTATTGGAGTGGAGTGGGGATTGACCAGCGTCCTGGGTCACGCTCAGGCACGTGTCTGCGAGTACCCAGAATGCTGGTTCGATACCCGTACTGCTCCAATGATTTTCTCATAGCTACTGCATATCACATTGTGATTTCCTTGTGTATTATTATTATTATTATTACACACACAAAAATCACATTATCGTGATATATCAGTAAGAAAATCCACAGGCGCTGTGATGAGGGATCGAAGCTATATGCTGGAGGTTCCCAGATGCATCCTCTAGTTGAGTACACCACGACCTTGCATAAGAATTGCAACCTGGAGTACTACTGCACCCTCGAGGCTTCCCGAGGCATCCACTGAACTTGTGTAGGGTGCAGTAGTTCCTCGGGTTGCAATTCCTATACCTGGTAGTATATTCTTATATGTGGCATAGTCGACAAGAACACCCAGCACTTAGGGTCAAACTCTCATCATGGCTCCTGTGGATTTTCTCATTATTATTATTATTACAATATATTTATTTCAAATATATACATATGAACATTAATTAGTAGGTACAGAAATTGTATATTATATAAAGCCACTAATAAACACAGTATTTTGGTTATCTTCAGATCTTCAATATCAATTGTGTTTTTAGAATACATTTTTGCTAATAACTGAATTAACTTTACCAGTGAATTCAGTAGAGTTCCAAGTTTGTTTACTTTTGTATGCTAGTGGCAAGTCAGGTGTCTGGGAATTACCATAACCACTCTAATTCCACTCTACCACTTCAAAAAACCACTCTAGTCACTCCATTGCCTCAACATAATTTTCATTGATATATCACGTCACTGATTTCATTGCGATCTGAGTGGGGGCATAAGAGAGTGAACACCAGTACTGTAGGCCAGAGTAGTCGGGGTGACTGTAAAACCCTAGTTGGGCTCAGATTCAGGGCCTCTAGAACCTCCCTCGAGTTCTGGGTTGGTTGACTTTTGTAGCAACGTGGCAGAGCCAGTTAAAGCATATTTCTGGGACTTACCAGGATGCAGGTTCAAGTCACTCCATTGCTTCAGAATGATTTTCATTTATATTTTGTATTCTTACAACATGACAGACTTTTCTGGGTGAAGTCACTCGTTCCAAGATCACTATCAGTTTTACCTTGGTATCTATCGGTCAATTGTCTTTTAAGTTCTTAAATTTCATTCTTTCACCTTTTGTATCTTTTTGAGGCATCATCCCAATCATCTAAAATTACATGACAATATAAACACTCAACTAACAAGATGTAAATATTCCTGCTTCTACCTTACCTGCCATAAAAAGGAATGCGAGCCTTAGTGCAATTCTGCTTCACTTGATCAAACGCACCAGCTCGGAAGGTATCTGCACATACCAGGCAGGTCTTCCAACCTTTCCGCATGTAATAGTATGCAAGCTTTGTACATGTCGTCGTCTTACCAGAACCCTAAAATATAGAAGTAAAAATAATTTAAATTTACATTGCCAAGAACAGAATAAATCTTTAGCATTTCGTATACAATATAACAAACCTTAGATATATATCAGATCATAACTAATACAACACTGAAGATTATTTTCAATATTAGTATCCAAGTCCCCTATGCCAGTCATGCTTCAAAATATTGTAAAACAATATTGATTGTAAGTGGGATTTTTTCTATAATAATAATAATAATAATAATAATAATAATTCGTTGTGTTGGGGACAGGAAGCCAGAGTGTATTCATATATGTTAGGCTTATATCATGGTTCTCCTCTCCCACCCAAGGTTGAATTACTGACCCTGCCCAGGATGCAACCCCACAAGCTGACTAACTCCTGAGTACCTTCTTACTGCTAAGTGAACTGGTACATTAGGTGAAAGGAAATGCGCCCAAGTTGGGCCAGGGAATCCCACCAAGGATTCGAACCCGGAATTCGTGATTGTGAGTTGAGAATGAACCCTACTGGAGTACAGGACCCCTAGGGATAAGCATAGGAACTTAGACAAACTCACCTATCCTAGCAATACCAAAGCTAATTCGTACAAAAATGCTACAAATTTAGATGCTGCTGTTGATAGTATCTGCACCAACAAGCATCATGAGTGAGGACAAGTTGATAAGATTGAAGTTAGGTATGAGTAGATGGGGTTTATTAGTAGGGAATGTTCATACGTCGGTGCTGTTTGGGGGATATATGGATGAGAGGGTGATGTGGGCAGGTAAAATTCAAGTCATATGCTCATCTCTAATCTCACTTATACATAACTGAAGTGAAATACAGTAATGAAATGTGATTAAGGATATTTATCACTACCCTTATGTATATTTTTAAAAAATATAAAAAATTAAGTACATTCTATGAGGGACACTGACCTGGAGACCAACAAACATAATGACATTGTGTCGTCCTTTAACTGGCACGTATGGCTTTGTCCCCGGGTCCACCAACTGCAAGACACAAAAATAGCATGAGAATCTGCAAACAATACACCTGTATATTATTTTACCACAACACAGCAGGGATGTAGGTGCAGTCTCCTCCCACCACTCCTGCCCTCTCACTCCACCATACTGACACCAATATCACTCACACATTTTATACCATATCTTCCCAATAACTATCTCTGAACTCCTCCATAATGACTCGTATGGTTTTGCAACGTACCAACAAGAAATGCTGTCTTCATGCACCTCCATAAAGCGACCTCTATCACACACACGCTCTCACAGCCCCACTGTGTCACTTTGTCTTCGACCACTTTGTCTCATCACCTCACCCTTGTCCCATACCTGTATAGTGTACACCGTCCTCTATCAACCAGCAATCATTCATTTACTTTAAATTCTCTTATCATCTTAGTGCTCCAATCAATATTCTAACTAACACTCTTCAATCCCAGTATAAAATTATAAAACACAACAATGATATTAATGTTCATTTTTTTTATATGTTCATAAACCCCTTGTATGCATGATTAATACAACATAAAAACTGCTTGAAAACTACATAAGAAAGCCCAATTTTGACAAAATGGTAAGATAATTGGCAGAACATTATCACACCACCATATGCGAGGAAAAATTACCATAATACATTCAAACACACTCATCCATCATATTATCCTCACAGCTTGTGTTATGAAAGGTAATATTCAAGCATAAATAATAATTATTCCTTGGTTTATTATATTAAACTGCAATCTTGGATATCACAAGGCACTCTGGTTATCTGCAAGGTTTTGAACAAAACACAGGTAAGACAGGCAATTATGTCAAGTATCATAATGAGAACACCTACTATGAAAACTTCTATAGAATGACAAAGTGCCTGAAATATACAAAACTTGGAAAGAGGCGTATATTAAAAACAAATACAAAATCATGAGCATGTAGCTTAGATGTACAGTAAAATGATAAGGTTTAAGTAAATAGAAAAGAAACATTGCCAAGAATATCTGTACAACTCTACAGCTGAGGAAAGACAAGCCAGGCACTGAAGATCCCAGAAACATACCTGTAGTTCAGAACTTGTGCACAACATTCATGCAAGTAATAAAAAGAAAATTCCATGGAACAATTATTCTAAAAATTCTAGCAAGGAATATAATGAAACTGTATGAGTGTAAAGGAAATATTTTTTCTGATGGCAAAAGCTCTTATGGCATATCAACCCTTGTATGAATTGTAAAAGTGAGAATTGGATTGGAGTGTCAATAATTACTAATATTTTTTCAATCATTGAACTTAGGCCTACTGTGACCAGCCTATGTCCATGCCATACCCCAGATCATTATCCATACAAATTTGGATAAGGCTAGCCCACAACAGTCTGGCCTCAAACTTTACACAGACAGACAGAGGTAGACAGACATTCTCTCATTGTATAAATAAGGGGAATTGACGAGAGACAAAGGCACAATATCAAAGCTAGGAACAGCAGAATAAGGCAGAGCAGATTAAACTTAGAGAGAGGCTAGAGAGACAGACAATTAACAGCGATGTCAGAAAGCTCTTTAGTGCTAGAGTTGTGAACAAATGTAATGGGTTGGACAAATAAGTGGCTGAAGTTAACTCAATAAACAATTGTGAACTTAAATACAAAACTAAAAATGAGAGAGCCAAGACATTGTGTTGAACTATAAAATATACGGAAGGTGGGGCTAGAAGCTAATGCTTGCAAGTACCTGTACATCTAAGCAAGAACATTAGGCAACAACAGTAATACTCAACACTACAAATTCTTGATGGGCTGAAAGAAAATTATTAATACTATGAGGATATGAAGGGAAAACACATTATAAAGTAAATAAGAGTAATGTAGGGAATTACCTTAACAAGCTCTTTAAATACTGTTGTCTGTATCATCCGTCGCTTGTTGAGACCCCCGGCCATCTCATCAAAATCAATTGCCGAGCGAACATTTTCCCTTAGTTGTTTTACAAGTCTAATATTAACATCAGACTCAAGTAACGCTGCACAAATTTCTTTGAGGAGGTCATTAAGGACATCCTCATTGATAATAGTGGCATTATTGAGGGATTTAAGGGCCGAGGTGATCTTACGACCTAAATCTGCTAACACCATCTTGGCTGAGGCTATTCAAGCAGCTTCAATTTAGCACAGCTGTAAAAGAAAATTAAGTACTGTACTTATATACAATACAATATATTGTATACCAAATGTAATTAAAAAAGTTCTGTAAAGATAATTGGGTTAATAAGAGACATTTGCAAAACAAAAATTATGAGAAAACGATCCTGAATCATTTCTCATGTGTCACACATGCAAGAACGGGTTGCACACATGACACTATTACAGCCTTGACATCTGTTAAACAATAGGAGACGAGACATTTATTACGATCAACCCTGGGTTGTATTTTGCCCAATATTTTCAAGACTGCCTGATATCATGACAATACTTCCATTATATCTTTTAGGCATGTTCTGTATTTTACTCACTTTAAACAGGTAAATATTGATATTAAATTTATCTAGGTTAAAGATAAGATAAATTATGATAGCTGAAGTATTAGGTTAAGTAACTTAAAATTTCTAGATAATTACTGCAAGCTTGAGAATGTAGTGACAAAATTTTCAGTCTAGTTGAAAGTCTAATTTTTTTCATTTTTCAGAAAATTTTCAGTCTATGGTTTATGGTAATTAAGTATGACTGTTAGGCTTAGTTGAGCTAGTTAAAATGCTGACTTAGCAAAGATGTTAAATTAAATCATACTAACAATTATTTTATTATATACTGTATACATAGAGGTACCACCTTAGGTGCAACCTAAGCTTCTCTGAAGTTATAGGGCCCTATAGCTAAAAGTGAATAAAAGGTATTCAGAGAAGACCTTGTAGATTCTCCCTTAACCCTTAAATGGCGCATGGCTATATACCATTTGACACCCACAGGCGCATACAAAAAAAAAAAAAAAAATTTCTTCCTAACCTGTTAATAATCGTGTTATGTAATTGTTAGTCTGCTTGACTTAATCTACTCAGCCCTTGACAAAAGTGAGTTTCCAATTGGACTCTTCATTGACCTGAGAAAGGCTTTTGACACTGTTAACCATAACTACCTCTTACTTAAACTCCAACATTATGGAATCCGTGGCCTTGCCCTATATCTATCTATATCCGATCCTATCTTAGTGACAGACACCAATATGTGGCCATCAATGACGTAACCTCTCCTACTCTACCACTAACCGTAGGGGTGCCACAAGGCAGCATCCTAGGACCTCTTCTATTTTTTATATACATCAATGATCTGCCTAATGTCTCTAACATGCTTAAACCAATTTTGTTTGCTGATGATACTACTCTCATCTACTCTGACCCCAACCCATTCATATTAAATAATGTTGTAAACAATGGACTAATGACCATTGTTTACGTTTATCATGTTGATTCCGCATGAAAAGGAAATATCCCATCCCTATATGGGATACTGTAATATACTATAATAACTGCCTATACAAATGTTCTCTAAATGTTCTCTGCCTACGTTCTCTAAATGTTCTCTCTGCCTATACAAATGTCTCTAACATTCTGAAACCTATTTTGTTTGCTGATGATACTACCCTCATCTACTTTAACCCCAACCCACATACACTAAATAATGTTGTTAATAATGGACTAAAAAAAAGTCCACTTATGGATGTCAACCAACAAACTTACACTAAACATAGAAAAGACCTACTACATCTTATTTGGAAGCAAATCAACAAATGCAATTCAGCTTCAGATAGATAATGTAAACATTAGCAATAAAAATGATGGAAAGTTCCTTGGGCTGTACTTAGACAAGAGACTCAACTTCAGCACCCACATAACTAAAAAGGTTTCTAAAACTGTTGGTTACTCTCTAAGATCAGATATTATGTACCCTACTCTGCTCTCCTCTCACTCTATTATGCACTTATCTATCCCTATCTTACTTATGGTATCTGTGCATGGGGTTCAACCTCTGCAAACTACCTCAAGTCCATCATCACCCAGCAGAAATCTGCTATCAGGATAATAACTAACTCTGCTTTCAGACAACACACAGCTCCCCTGTTTAAATCCCTAAACATGCTAAGCATAAATTTACTCCATACATTCTCTTGTGCTAATTACATTTATAAAACCCTTTTTTTAAGTGCAAACCCTGTTCTGAAACTCTTCCTGGACAGATGTAATAGAACACAATCACCACACCAGACATAAATATCTTTTTGATATCCCCAGAGTCAAACTAAATCTGTGTAAACATTCTATGCAAATAAAGGGACCTAGTCTATGGAACTCACTCCCTAATAAACTGAAAAGCTGTTCAACTTTTGCCTTATTCAAAAATAAAACCAAAAAGTACCTAATTTCATCTTCATAGATGAAGATGCTACCTAGAGCTTTATCTTCACACTGTTTCTAGTGCTACCCAATCCTCCATTCTTTGTACCCAAGTCATATCCTTCACCATTGTAATCTTAGATCATCTGTTATCATGGTTGTTGTATTAAGTGCATATTCTATTGCATTACTCCTTGTAATGATCCTCATATTGTGCTTCAGTGATCCAATGTATAACCCTGAGATGTTTCCTAATTGTACATAGGTTTCCTTGTTCATTATTGTGTATTGTTCTGATCTGCTTTCGTGTCAAAAAATCTTGCAATGTACCTGTAAACATTTTTTTTGATAATCTTATTGTAATGATCCTACTTAAAATCATTTGTACTTGTAAAGTAAAGCTGTAATGTGCCTGTTAAACACTTTTTATTAATTTTACTCTTATTTCTCTAAAACTTTCTGTTAGTTTAAGGACTAGCCCGAAACACTATGCGTGCTGGTGGCTTTACAAGATTGTAATTTCAACTTAAACTCTATGTTCTCTCTTAACCCCAATGTACTTTCTTGTATATATATAAATAAATAAATAATTAAATAAATAAATAAATATAATGTGAGTATTCAAAAGTTGCAAAAAACAATACTAAGCAGTTAATACAAATATAATTGACTAAGGAAACGGCCAGTGTGCTACAAGCCATGGTACAACACACAGTACTATGTATGTAAATATACATTATGTAAATACATATTAGTATACAGTACCCCCCCAATGGTACTGGCGAGGTCACAGAACCCCTAAGTCGACCACTTGCTCTCCCTAGTCATCAAAGTCCCCCTCCCACCTCACACCTCCCTTTGCTGACCTCAGTACCCGCTCTTATTCCTCATGAAGACCGCGCGAGACACAAAGTCAAGTGAGAAGGGAAGACGTGGGGAAGGTGGTGTGGCATCAGCTGTTACAGCAGGAGGAGGAGGCGGTGGCGACGGGGACGAGGTGGTCGTGTTGACTGTTGACGGCTGCTCGCCGTTCCTGAGCCGTGTATCCGGATGCCTCGCTCCCGTATGCTTCACTCGACACGTGCATTATATTTACATTGAATTTTGTAATAATAATTAATAAAAAAAACAAGCTACAGCCTCAAGATTGTAACTTGCTTAGCTAAATGAATTGTGGGGTTCAGTCCCTGAGCCCATTATGTGCCTCTGTAACCCTTTCTGCTACCGCCCACAAGATGGGTATGGGGTGCATAATAAATGAACTAAACTAACTAAACAGCCCCGCTCCTGTGCCAGGTAAGTCCACTACGGGCTCATCATAGCCCGTGCTGCTTGGAACTTTTTGTTCCCAGTAGCTGAATCTATAACAACAACAACGTAATAATAATAATGTTTATTTAGGTAAAAGGACATACATAAAAAATGAGTAACATACAGAATGTTGGATTTCTATATAAAGCTAATTTATACTATGCCTAAAGCCACTAATGACATCACGGGAGTCATCTCCCGTCACGCAGGGTGCAGTCGCACCTCCACAGATCTCCAGTATCAGCTCTTGATGCTGGTAATGGCTCAAAAGGGCCACCACTTACGGGCTATTCATGCCCGTGCCACCTTTTGGGTGGCTTAATCTTCATCAATCATCAACTAATGACATCATTCTAGGAGATGACTTCAACAATGACCTGTCAACAAAATAGTCCCCAAGTCGAATACTTCCTAAAGAGAATGACCTCCTGTATGTTAATCCCCACAATCACCAAGTCCACACGAATTACTCAAACATCTGCTACAGGACCACATAATGGACTAATATGTGGGGCATGATAATATTGTCCCCGTGGCGTAGTGGTAAGACACTCGCCTGGTGTTTCGCAAGCGCTTCTAACACTCCTCTACTCTCTATAAAGAAACAGACATTTTTATCACATTTGACTACTTCCTGTAATATTGCTAATACAGCTTGCAATTCAGCCTGCGTTGAATAGACATTATCAGTTAAGCGGCGTCCAATAACAGTATCTACAGCCTTTCATTTATCTAATGGCAGAGGTTAGATTTATCTCTAAAATTCTATCTCCAAAAACTCTTCAGATTCAACTCCATCTTCATTATCTCAATCACAGCATTTCTTGGGCATCCTAAGATTATTCTCATGGCTTCCTTTAGTACCTTCTCCAACTTGCCCAGTCTACCTTTACCAAAACAAGATATGCCAGGTGCAGCAAATTCAATAAAGGATCTTACTGTACTCAAGTATATCATTCGTAGAACAGGGACTCTCACACAGTACTCAAGTATATCATTCGTAGCACAGGGACTCCCACACAGTACTCAAGTATATCATTCGTAGCACAGGGACTCCCACACAGTACTCAAGTATATCATTCGTAGCACAGGGACCCCCACACAGTACTCAAGTATATCATTCGTAACACAGGGACCCCCACACAGTACTCAAGTATATCATTCGTAGCACAGGGACTCCCACACAGTACTCAAGTATATCATTCGTAACACAGGGACCCCCACACAGTACTCAAGTATATCATTCGTAGCACAGGGACTCCCACACAGTACTCAAGTATATCATTCGTAACACAGGGACCCCCACACAGTACTCAAGTATATCATTCGTAGCACAGGGACTCCCACACAGTACTCAAGTATATCATTCGTAACACAGGGACCCCCACACAGTACTCAAGTATATCATTCGTAACACAGGGACCCCCACTCCCAATCCATGTGGGACCTTGGTATAAGTCTAACATGTATATACACACATTGGCTGCCTGTCCCCTACACAATGATTTTGTATTAACCATTATTTTGCAATAATGTAATGTAATTATTTATTTAAATATTAAATAAAATCATTTATTTATAATTAAATTAAAATTTAATTAATTACTATAGTAAGTACTTAATAAGTAGTAAGTACTTAATAAGTAGTAAGTACTTAATAAGTAGTAAGTACTTAATAAGTAGTAAGTACTTAATAATAAGTAGTACTCAAAAATTATTAAAAAGTACAGTTTCTTCATAGGAGATTCCCAGACTGGAATTCACTACCAAATTTCAATATATCCAAGTATTTTTAGTGTGAAATGCTGTTATTATATGTTTAATTTGCTGTTTTAATAAAGTTTAATTTATTTGGAAATACATCACATCTCAATAAGGAGTTATATGTAATACCAACAAGATATTAAACCAGCTTATCATAAGCTAAGGGATTTCTAGATCAGTATTTAAAGGGAATTCGGAAGTACTAATAATACAGCTTATGCCATCTGTTGACAGAACAGAACACTATCAACTGGCTGGTCAACAGTAGCCATAAGATACAGCTTATGCCATCTGTTGACATCAAATTACACTATTAACGCGCCAGCCTACAAAACACAGCTGGCGCCATCTGTTGCGTCGCCCAGGAACTATCAATAGCCAAACAGCAGCCCATAAGGCGGGTTGTTGGGCTCAAGTAGGAATTCTCGCGCTGGCATCTCATTGGTGGATATTCTTTGTTGACATTCACCATAACAGCCAATCACAGGAAGGGTTCAGCTAAGGGTTCCACCCACTTAATAAATCATCTTTGTTCAGCACACCAGCCCTGCTTATGACATTCTGCTTTAACTTTAATCTACTCAAAAAGTGACGTGTTAATTATTTAAAAGTATTAATAAAGTGATAATTAAATATTGCAGGATATAACAAGTGTTATATAAAAATGGCACAGCTCCCTAACTTGTGACGTTATTAGTGGGGTTTGCCACAACCCAAACAACATTGATGATACAATGCTCCGCCCTCTTATTGGACTGCATTATTCAGTTAGATGAAAATTTTTGTCAGGAACACAACATAAATTGTTGTTCTTTTGCGCAATAACAAGGTTGTTGTGCAAAAGGGCGTATTTCTTAGTTTGCATTTTATTCATAAAAGAGTGTTTGGCATTCTCCGCAACAGCCAATCACAGGAAGGTATTTGCTGGAAGCTCCGCCTCCTTATGGACTTCATAGATCTAGTTCATGACTTTCTGTTTCATCTCTTGTATAACCAAATTATGATTTGTTATACCTATACTTACTAAATTAGGGATATTTGGCTAAAATTTCTGGCAGCAGATCATTTTGAATGAAATATTTACACATCTCTTGAAAATTTGTTATAGAATTGTCTATGAATTTTATTGATACAGTTTACATTTGGTCAGAGAATTCCCAGAGATACTTGTAACTGAGTCTAAGCCGAGCAGTAGTAACATCTAAAAGTCTTCTGATTTTATTGAATGAACCATAGATGTGTGGCTCCTCTTGCATGATAGCATGATGATAGATGGAATTACTGGTGTCGATTTCACTTTGTCTCAGATCTACAAGATTTTGTTGAAGTTCTTGGTTTACTATTGCTCTCAGACTGCTCATTGACAGTCCAAGATTATACTCAATTATCATACCTTTAAACATACATGGTTATACATGTCATATCATACCTTTAAAGGCAGATTCTTGTGAGTGATAACCTACAACAGCCTTGAGAGATCTGATCGAGCCTCTCTATATACTGATGACAGAGTCTAAATACAGCAGAACCATACACTGGCATCTCAAGGCCAGGGGTATTTGAATTTGTCTTATCTTATCTGTAATATTTATGTTACCATAGTGTGTGTTTATTGTACAAACCTGTCATGCCATGGATATTACAGGTCTATAAATTTCTCACTATTCTCATTATTTGTAGCTTCCACTGTATGAGTCTAAATTTATTATATTTGCATCAAGTATAATTTTTTTCTTTACAAAATCCAACATATATTATTATGTATATTATATTCTCACCCCAGAGGTCGTCATATATACCGGGTCCCTGTGCGCGCCACAACTTGTAAACAAGGTCGTCTTCAGTCGCTTACACGATGACATAATTTTGGGTAGAAACAATTCCATGGAAAGAATAAATATTTGATACTGTGGCAGGAAGAACGAGAGCCTGTTGTGAATGAGGACTACTGTTCAAATCTTGGGGCTGTCATGGGCATCCAGGGTCTCTTACCTTTCCTGAGGAAGGCGTCGAGGGAGGCCAATCTGAAGGACTTCAAGGGCCAGACGGCCGCTATAGACGCGTACTGCTGGCTGCACAAAGGCGCCTTCTCTTGTGCGGACAAACTTGTGCGTGGAGAGCCCACTGATGGGTATGTAGGTCGCAGGACACATGTTTTATGTATTACGGGCTATTCATGCCCGTGCCATCTCTTGGGTGGCTTAATCTTCATCACTGTTTTACGTAAGCCACTAGTGTTTTGTGCATTGGCACTTTCTTAACTCGATAACCTTTTTTGTGAACTGAAGATTTGTATATGATAATATACAAATATATATGATAATATTTGTATATGATTTGTCTTGTATATCTACACCAGTCTCACTAATCATATACAGTATATCAAGTGTCAAGCCTCCCACTATTGATCTCAGGACATTTGACCTCTACAGGTGACCTGACACTATCAAACAATATTTGAAACAATTAACTCTACTCTTAACTTGTAAAATTCAACATATTAAGACCTTATCAGTTTGGCTTCTGTTCCCAAAAGAGTACCAATAATGCCATATTCTTCTACTTGATATGATCTACATAGCTCTTGACTAAAATGAGTTCCCAATTGGTCTCTTCATTGACCTGAGAAAGGCTTGTAAATACTGTATAAGGCCTGTGATACTGTAAATCATAACTACCTCCAATTTAAACTTCATCATTATGGAATCTGAGTTCTTGCTCCAGGCTACAGTATATTCGATCATATCTTAATAACAAGACACCAATATGTAACCATTAATGACATAACCTCTTCCACTGTACTGTTAAACAGGAGTGCTGCACAGCAGAATCTCAGGACCTCTCCTATTTCTTATATCCATCAATGACTTGCCAAATGTCTCTTAACATTCTTAAACCTATACTATTTGCTGATGATGCTACCTTCATCTGTTTAGACCCCAACCCACATACGTTTTATTTGGAAGTAAATCATCAAGCCGGGTTCACTTTCAGACATACAATGTCAACATTATTATTAAACATGAGGGAAAGTTCTTTGGCTTATATATAGATAATTAGACTAATCTTCAGGGCCCCACATACAACACACAGCCCAAAATGTAAATTACTGGTATATAAAGTTAAGTTTTTTGCAGCAGTTATATTGTCTATTGCAGGAGTCTTATGCACTCACTAAATTTACATGAGTATGGCTTTTGTTGTATTTAATTGTCTCAAAAGTCCAAAAAAATTTTAAGACCTGTTAATTTTTATTTATTTTTATTTTATTTCCTTCAGATATGTGGTGTATGTGATGAAACAGATCAACCAGTTGTTGAACAATGATATCAAGCCTATCTTGGTGTTTGATGGCTGCCATCTTCCATCAAAAGCTATCACAGAGACCAAACGCAGAGAGTAAGTTCAATATTATTATTTAGTATCAATGACTGTAATTGTTCATGTCAGATTGGGTCAAATTGTCCTTCAACTTAATGATTTGGTAGAGCAGCAGTCTGAAATGCTTTGCATATTAGTGACTACTGTATATAAATTACTGTGTGTACATACAAATACCCCATTACCATGACACTGAAAATATTTTTACTAATGTTTTGATGGCTTGTTTGGATTTTGTATTTAGTCTCCATCTCTGTTGCATTGTTCACATACCATATCTCAATGAGCTAGAGTTAGAGAGCCACAGAGGCCCTACCAGAAAGAGGGCTTTCATTATATTCAACACTGGCTTTCGGTTTAGAAACCCAAATTTCTTAATGGAAACATGGTGAACGAATTTGAACTTTTGCATTAGGATCCATTATATGGACGTCTTGATTTTCAAATGAGCACTATATGTACAATTAATACTGTGCAATCTGTTTGTTTTTATATTTAGGAATCTAATAACAAAATTATTGTGTAAGCTGATGCGCTAAATCATATACTGCTAAATATAATAAACCATAAACCATATACTGTACTAAACCATATACATAATGCTGTTCTGTCATAAGAGTTTTGACTTTTCAAGTAGCCTCAGCAATTATGTATACATTAATAGGTACTAGATAAATATTACATTTTAGAAATCGTGAGCGGAATCGCAAGAAGGCAAAAGAGTTACTTAGAGAAGGAAAGATTCGTGAAGCCAAAGAATGTTTCCAGCGTTGTGTTGACGTGACGTCGGAGATGGCTGCTGATGTCATTAATGCTTGTCGTGCCAGGAATGTTGACATAATAGGTAAGGCAGCAGATGGGTCTCATTACTTGTTATATACTTTACTGTACATATATCAGGGGGGGGGCCTACCTCCTTGTATCACGGTATAATGAAGACATTTAGGAATGTTTTCTTTCTCATGATGCATCTGTTCACATATCAGTAAATAGGTACCTAGGAATTAGGAGCTGTTGTGGGTTGCATCCCGTGGATGGGGTAAGTCAATATTTGTCAAGGAAAGTTAGGGATTTGCTAAAGATTCACGAAGAAAAATTTCTTATATTAGAAAAAGAAAATGAAAATAATCTTAAAAGTAAGATTAACCTTTTACAAAAAAATATTTTGGTGAAAGAGAAGAAAGTTTATCAGCTTGACCGGTCTTATTCTTATTGAATCTTCTCGTTACCCTGTACTTTGTTAGCGATGCTTTCTTTTTGTTGTGAGTGTAAACAAGTGCTTTATTTCCAGTCGCACCATATGAGGCTGATTCACAGCTGGCGTACCTGAATCATCGTGGCATTGCCCAGTTGGTCATCACCGAGGACTCTGATCTTGTCCTGTTTGGATGCAAAGCTGTAAGGCTATTTTTGTTTTTATTGTCCTTGCTAACAAAGATTTTTAGTATCTTGAAATGACCTGCCCAAAATGCTGTGCATACTAGTGGCTTTACAAGAATGTAAATACCATGCCATGTATCCTCACAAACCCAATGTACCTTCTTGTATATAAATAAATAAATGTTTATCTGTAAAATAATTTAGAGTGGACTGTTGTAATTATTACAGAAAACTATATAATTTGGTTTAAGATTGTCATATTTAGTATTTATATGTTTCATTCTACATTAACTATTATATAATTTTGAGTATTTATTATATATATTATGACTTAGAAAGTCTGAAATATTTGTATGGTAGTGTATGTAATGTATGATTTTAAGACTAAATTTATTCATCATTGCAATATATTTTTGTGAACTTATCTTTTAGTAAGTTATGCAACATAAAAGAGAGTTGATGCTCATATGGTTAAGATTACAAGAGAAGTTTTAACTGAATTTATAATTTTCAAAATATTTTTCCTGAATTCAATTTATATACTGTACATATTATCAAATATTTTTCCTAAATTCAATTTATTAAAGTTCAAGTTAAAAAAAAAAATGTTATCCTTATTGTCAATAATAGTACTTACAATTTGTTCACAGTGTCTGTTCAAATTAGACAACAATGGTGGTTGTGTGTTGGTTGAACAAGAGAAGCTCCATCTTGCAATGAATGTGCCACGAGACAAGTTCTGTTTTGACAAGTTTCGAAATATGTGCATCCTCTCGGGTTGTGATTATCTGCCATCTCTGCATGGAATTGGATTGGCTAAGGCTTGCAAGTTCTTCAATGTTATCTCAAATCCAGATATTTACAATGTAGGTCATAACTAATGGGGAAGATTTGATGGTATTTGTGGAATTTTTTCCCTTCACTTCTTGATAAGTAAATGTCTTTAATATGGTGACTGCTCTGGACACCAGATTACTGTAATAAGATATCAATCTAATATTTTTCACAGTAATGTATTTGTATTTATTGTATTCTGCTAATATTAGCTACAACTATTAGCTTAACTTTTTTAGTAAATTTATACATTAGTTATTTAGATAAACATTTAATGAAATGAATACAGCACTGCATTAACAGTTCATTAATCTGTCTTGTACATAATTCATAATACAATGAGAAAATTATTCTTTCTTCAGGCATTGTGTAAACTACCATCGTACTTGAGGATGCCCCACCTGGAGGTCACAAAAGAATACCGGGATAATTTCGTCAAAGCTCGCAACACATTTCTGTATCAGCTGGTATTTGATCCTATTGACCGCATTCTTCGCCCTTTAAATGACTATCCCGATGACCTGGAACCTGAAGATTTACCCTATGCCGGAAAGTTTATTGGCCATGAGCGAGCTTTACAAATAGCATTGGGTAATATTAATGTTCAAACTGGAGAAGTAGTTGGTAACTTTTCTCCAGAAACTTACAAGGTAAATATTTTTAGTTGTATGTCATTTGCATATATAATATTTTGTAGCATTGTTGAACAACACTTTTGGTATATTATTCAGATAAATTTTCATGAATGAGTGATATTAAAATAATAACACATTTTATCAGAGAAGACTTAAAAGTGAATGTGTTCAGATATCAAGTCGTAGTGTTGGAGAGAAGAATAAATTTAGTTTGAAATAAATGTGAACAGAGAAGTGATATGATGAGTTTGAATACCTGGGATATGTGACTGATTTAAGGGGGAATTAGTGCAAGCAAAGTTTAAGAGTTCAGTGATTCAGAGAACGAATGTGATTAAAACCTTAGAGTAAATACAATAGGAAGTGATGCAAAGAGCAAATTACATTGTGCTATTTTACTGGGAAAGCATCTAGAAAATCAGAAAAGCTTTGCAAACAACAGCTGGTTCACAAGAACTGAGGACTTGGAACTGCTAAACAACTCCCTAAACAATTCTTATACAAAGCAAGCTACAGTAATTGACTCGAAGCTAGCTCAAACCAGTTAGTACTGATCACTGCCACCAGGCAGCCCAGAGCACAGTCCTTCACTAGCTCACAAGTCAGTCATATTGCTGATGTGTTGCCTAGTGAATGATAGTAATGGTCTGTGATCGCCATCTTTCACAATTGCTGTGACGTAGTATGGGGCAATCGCAGCGAGACAGCTACAGGAGCCCACCAAGGGGCTTTACCAGAAAGCAGTTCAACAAAGATTTATCAGATGCTCTTTTTTTTTCCCACGTGATTTTGTTATCACAATTTGTTCTCACTAATTAATTGTGAGAAAGTATATTTTATTAATTGCACTAATAAAAACAATAATGTTTTAGTTCTTGATAACATAACCAAGAATGGCAAAGCTCAGAGGAAAATCAGTTCCTTTGTTGCAGATATGGGATTAGATACGAAGGTGTCTGAATGTGAGTCCACTGTGCAGTATACAAGTGGTAATATAAACAGGTGTATTGGTTTTGAGTGAAAATTAATAAACATTTTTAATTAAAGAAATGTCTATTTCCAGCCCCCAGAGCCAAAGTCATCAGGCTGGAACAAACGCGGTAACATCTGCTCGGCTCATCCCAGCATATGGACTAAGAGTTTCACAAAGAATGGGCCAGTTGTTCCTAGTATCGCAAACTCTGAGAGACAATCTATGAAGCACAAAGAAGTAACAGTTATGAATCCTATATTCAAGAGAAGAAAACCTGGTAATTGTATTTCTCTGAATGTTTCAAATTATTCTGCATCCGTGAAATTTGCAATGAAATTTGTACTGAACTTAAATTTTTTATATACACTGTACAGTACTTTATTATTGACTTTCAGAAACAGAGGTTGTTGATAATGATGTAACTGAAAGAGAGCTCCATGACCTATACTCTCAACCAGAAAAGCGTAGGAAGATAGAAGTATGTCCAGATGATGCAGAAAAGAGTAAAACGGTAGAACGATGTCCGGATGATACCGAGATTGCTCTTGACAACAGTGATCACACAGCCCTTGACCAATTGTCTGATTCTCTTGACATGGATGAAGATACAAAAATAAATCTTATTTTTCCTGTTGAAAAAGACCAAGATACTAGTGCGGAGACACAATTGGATTTGTCGTCCGACCAATCCAAGTCTAGAAACCCATTTGCCAAGTCCCGGTCTACCAGTAAATTACCAGGCTCAGGTGGACAGTTCAGTGCTCTGAAGAGATTTAGTAAAATAAAGAAAACTGTCATAGATAAAAACACGATTGTCCAAAGCAGGTTAGTAAATATTCCATGTCCAAATGTTTCTGATCATACATTAATCATGCACTGCATGGTTTTCTCATTATTTTTACTGAAAAATAATAAAACTCCTTTGAAAAATTAACTGATCATTGTTGAATGCATTAGAATAAGATATTGTTATATTATGCTTAATATAATAGTTTTTTGGAAAAAGATTCTTAAAATTTTACTTATAGAGAATAATATTTAACGTTACTAATTTACAGACAGCCGATAGATTTGGGGCCATATTCTGTTCCCTGTATAAATAGTTTCTTTCATTAATATAGCTTTTCATGTTTTCATATTATAATATTTACCTTTCTAAGATTTTTTGTTACATTTAATATACAATCTTCACGAAAGTATTGCATATGGATGATAACTCCCTGAAGTTAGCTGATTCCCAGACTTCAGGGAGCTAGCAAGTGGCGGCTCCTCCAGAAAATAATCTTGAACATCTTGAAATGTTTGTCAAAATATGTGAATGTTAGAATCGGAGTTTGGGTCTAGTAGCTGGTGTCATTTGGTGGCAATAAAGGCAAGCATCACCTTTTGTGCTTAATCCATCAGGAATTGTTACTCTAGTTTCTGTTCTTGGTCACTGTTATGAGTTCTCTAATGAAGATTTGAAGTGAGCATTTTTTCTTACTAGAAATATCTAAAAAATGCCAATCAAGGAGACTAAATAATTGCTGAGAACATGTTAGTTATTATTATTTAAATTTGTGATTAAAATACCAGCACACACAATTCTTTGGCGAGACTGCCTAATTCTTTGATTTATAGTGACATTCAGTACACTGGAAACATACAAAATAAATATGTTTTAGCTTCATACACATGCAAGAATAGTTTAGGACTAAGATGGAATCTATGTCATGAAATGGTTAAAGGAAAACAAAACTGTTTTTGTCTTTAGTGGGAAACATTTTTGCAAAAATGGACCCTTTCCTTCTATGTATAATGCTGGGGATGTATGACTAATTACGCGGCTTACATAGGCAGTACGTAGGGTCTCAACATTCTTATGTCAACAAATATTGTTTACGAGACTAGTGCACAAGTAAATTTGACAGCCGAGAGCTCTTTGTGTTAGTGGTATACTGATATATATTTCTATAAGTTTTGCATTATTATGAAGACTATCAATATTACAATGGGAATGCTATACAAGTACCTGTAATTAATAAGACACCATTTTCAGATATTTTGCATCACCTGGTCTCAAAACTTCACCTACAGCACATGTCAATCCACCAATTATTAATAGTTCTCCAGTTGAAAATACAGTGAAACCAGAAAATCAAAGGACTCTCTGGAATATTGAAAACCAAGAGATGCTTGACAATAAGTTGGAAATTAAAGTTGAAATTAGTTCGTCCGAAATAAAAAATGCGCCGTTATCTCCTGTCCAAACCAACCTACTCCCAGCTAAACCTAAAAAAACTTTTCAGTGGGGCAAGTTGTCTGAAATGTTTGCTTGCACCAAAGAGAAAAGTGTTAAAGTTGAAAACAGTGCAGCCACAAGGAACGCATTCAAGCCTGTAACTGAACACAGAGACAAATTAGCATGTAAACAAGACACTTTGACTTCATCCCAAAGTTCTGACAGCGAGGAATGTTCATTATCTCAAAGGAGTCAAGTGTCTGAAATGTCATTGTACAGTGATGTAGGGTCAGTGGATAATGAATCTTTTGGCATGACACCTTCATCGTTGCCATCGACACCAGATGCTGCTACAGCCTCACAGCCTGCAGAAACTGTCACTTCTCCGGTATTAACCAGTCCTGTGGTATGTCCCTTCATCATCGTGGAATTATTCTGTTTCTCTGGTGCCTCTCCCTTTGTATATATTTCCAAACATATCTATGTTGTGTGGAATTTCCTTCATTTATATATTCCATACATTTTTAACTAATTAATAACATTTTCATTCACTGTATATCAAGAGAAATTATGATTTACAGTAAAAATGATAGTTGTATATAAGAAATGTTATGAATAATGCTGGAAGGCACGAAAGCTTTAGAATGCTTATCTCAATGCAGAATTATTGATTATCTAAGTGTGATTACCTCAGTTTTATTACAGGATGAGAACTACACTGGTGGTTTTCCAACTTCCTAATACTCTGTCATATGACACTTTGAAACTACTGACAGCTTTGGCATCCACTGCCGTCTCATTTGGTATATTCCATCTGTCTACTACTCTGTTTGTAAAGGAATGTTCTAAACAAAATTGCCTGCCTTGTTTTCTTAGCTTGAATCTATGGCCTCTTAAGGAAGCTGTTACATGTTGTTTGTATAATGATGACAGCAAACTTTCAAATAAAATATAGAAAGGTTTCTGAATATTTTGAGTACAATAATTTATGGCAGACTAGCAGCAAAGAAATGATTCTGCATTTGATTAATAGAAGATTATTAGCTCCATTGTTTAATATTATCTGCTGCACTGTATATGTAGAGGAAGTGTGGTGCCATCCCACCATTTCTTCTCAGTATGCATGGTTCCGAACAACAATATTTACCACACTAATTATCTAAGTAAACACTTTTAAGTTTACTGTATTGGGGTCAGCTTATTTGGGAGAGGAAAATATCTCATTGTTTAAATAAGTTTTTTTTTTTTTGTAATGTGTTTACTTTGGTTGTGAAAATGTATAAAGAAAAATTTGGTAATTGCAGTACTGTACTGTGTACTGAAATGGGTAGCCAGTGCATCAAAATATTTAGTCTAATGAGCTAAAAGTATATTTAAAAAATATTAATTGGAATATGTATATATTGTAAGGACCACAAATATGATTGAAGTAGCTAGTGTGTATACAAAAGTTATGTCTCACTAAAGAAATAATGAAATGTGTTGCATAATATTTACAGATTATACCATACCAGCTTGTACAAGAAAAAGCTTTAAAAATTTAGGTACGGTAAATCGAGTTTTATCATTAAAGTGATAAATTTGCTTTCAGATTGAAAAGAAAACTACTACGTCTTTATCAAGGAGTCGTATTAAATGCAGAACTCCAGGACTGTCTCGGCATAGCAGCGAGAAGAACAAGAAGCAACTACATGCTAAGCAACTGAGTCTCACGGAGATGTTTGCCTACAAAAAGTGAGTGTTACAAGTAATAATAATAATATTGTCAGATTGGTAAAAGGTCAAGTGGAACTTTCATAGAGTTACATACCTTAGTGTTCTGAAAATGAACATTTCCGTGGCCTGGTCTCTAACCAGACCTCTTGGTTGATGATCAGGTCAACCAAGCTGTTAGGTGCCACTCCTTGCAGTTTGATGTATGAATTACAGCCTGGTTGATTGGGTACCTTTTGGAGATGTTTATCAAGTTCCCTTTTGAGAACCAAAAGGTCTGCTAGTTATACAACATATATTTAGAGGGAGGGTGGTAAAGACTTGCAGGACCTTAATGTTTACTGAATTGTCTTTTAAAGTACCTGTTGCATTCTACTCCTTTAATGGGGCAATTTTGCATATATCTTCTGGTCCCTTAAGGAATTATTTTAGTGTGCAGGTTTGGAACTAGTCCCTCTAATTTTTCCAGGTGTAAATTATCATGTATCTCTTTCTCCTGCATTTCAAGTACAGTGTAGTGCAGTTTGAGGGTTTCCTAAAGGGTCCCAATAATTTAGGCTTTTCATTAAATGGTTTTGAACAATAAAAGTTCTCTGCAAGCTCTCCAGGTCAGTAACTTTTCCACCTCTGAATGAGGCTGCAAATGTGTAACAATATTTTACTCAATAGCACTGGTGTCACAAAAAGTTCCATCATTGGTTTGGCATATACAGTATCTTGTTTGAGAGCTACTTTATTGTGTTCTTTAAAAGTATTGTAAGGTCTTCTAACATGATTATTCCCAGGTCTTTGATATTACCTTTTCCTTTCTATGGTATGGTTTGACTATGTTTATATGGGGTCTCGTGTTTATCATAGCACAGGAGCCAGAACTTGTCTTCAGTGAACATCATGTTTTTCGTAATTTTGAAATATCTGGTTTACATCAGTTTGAAGGTTTGCTATGTTCTCTACAATTTTTACTCATAAAACTCTTAGTGTCATCTGCATACACTAATACAGTAGTATAGTTTGTCATCGTCTGTGTGTGTGATGAGAGAGAGAGACTTTGAGCAAATACTGTACAGTATTTCCCGGAGCTGAGATGTTTATGGTGGATGCTCTGGGTGTTACTCTGTTGACTATTACTCTTTGGGTTTTGTTGGAAAATTAGAGATCTATTTTCTTTCTTTGCCAGTTATTTGTTTAGTGCACTTTGTGTAATTATATGTTACATCACATTTAACATGTCTTCCAAGGTCTTGTCATAGTGGTCTATAAATTGAGGCAGGAGTGCTCTGCTCTAAGCCCATGTTGGCCAAGGTTGCGTAGATAAACCTGCATATTTTAAACCGAGATTAAAATTTGTTTTGTTGAATGCCACAATGTTCTCTGACTCACTTAAGGATAAGTTATCTGTTGCCTTTTGGAGAGTATCATTTTCTTATGGTCCATTTAAAGGCAAGAATGTGGTGTTACCGGACGTTATGGCACAATGGACAATTACCAGTATGGTATCTGCTTAGAGGTTTCCTGCATCTTCAAGCTGCAACCACCCTTAAAATTATGTGCACTACTGCTGTATTTTTTATTTAAATTTATTTCAGTGCTTAAGAGATTTTGATGAAATGCAGTGCAGTATCAGTACCTTACCTTGCGTTGATTTTGAGGGAGGGGGGGGGGGGGGGTCGAGGTCCACGTGGCCAGGTCTCTGACCAGTAATACAACTTATGCTCCACTAATGCCATGGCACAGCAATATCAATTTCATATACCTTTTGTTTCATAAATGCCGTCAGTGGTCTGGTCTTTCCTAGCATTACGGTCATCTAATAATTCTTTAGAATACCAAGCAAATGGAATCCACATAATTATGTAAATTCATGGGACACTATGAATGTATGAGTTGTACCCAGTAAGAACAATATCCAAAAGGAACACCAGTGTCGCATCAGTGGCATCAATTATGATTCACCGTCAAACTAACCACGTGGATATAGTGGCCACTGGGTGCCTTCACATGTATATATTCAATGAAGATTGACTGAACAATTAAAGATGATAATCTTTAATTGTTTTATTAAATTATTTTATTGTTTTAATTATTAAGAATAACTAGTACTTACATACATATTCTGAAATAGAAACCTTGTTAGATAAACATACTATTATTGAACTGTAATTTCAGGGACGGAGCCAAGGTTTAGCCAGAGACCATCATTGAGAAAACAACAATTCGTTGGTCAACACGTCTGTATTAAAAAATTAATAATGTTAAAACAATGCTTTTAAATATTTTAACTATGTAATCTAAAGGAAAATAAATATTTAGATTATTTCTAAAAAAACTCTATTTACTCGATACAATTACAAAAATTTGTGCATTAAGTACAGCAAATGCGGTCATCTGATAACAATTTTGAAGATGCGCAACATGGCCAACTTTCCCTGGACAATTATGTAGACGACCGACAATCACAAATTTAGAAAAAATCAGTAAATTGAGACAAATTTAACAAATTCTTGACACCGACACAACATTAAATGGTAAACAGACAGCCTTGGTTGACTGGAAGTCCTTTCTTCACTATAAACCATAGGCTGTGTACTCACCTAGATGTGTGTGTGGTTTATTATCCATTTTGAGAAGAAATTTATTTAATAGAGTGAGATTTGACTAAACACCTTGCGAAGAAAGCTGTATAGAGGCACAATAGAACCCTGATGCATCACCTCATGATAGCCTGTAGACTCTGTACTTCTAAAATAAACAAGATTGCAATTTTATCAGGTGTCACTGTGATATTAGGGTACTGTATTTGTGGTAACATGGAGAGGGGGTACAGTGACGTCCAGGTACAGCCCGAGAAGAATATGGGGCGACACGAATAGATTTAGAAATTATACCATTACAATGCTTAATTAAAGAAAGTAACATTCCAATTTCAATTATACCCTGCATAATTATATGCCTATCTGGGAATAATTACAGGCCAGGGTTTATTGTGCATCATACTTAATTGACCTCATCCACAAAAAGTTATAAAAACAAAGATTAAGTCCACATTATTATTTACTTTACAATACATGCTGTCAAGCCAGTGTAGCTGAAAGTTCCAGTGTGATCCAGGCTTGTGTTGAACAACATTTCTCAAGTTGATATATTGTAATGGCACATATAAGTCCTTAACTGTGTTATGCAGCAAATGGTAAGGGGTGGGGTACTGCAGAGCACTAAAACATGCCCTGCATTTAAGGCACAAATACTTGGGGGCCGAATTATGTTTATATGCATACATACAAAACACTTACAATAATTATATTGTAGACATAATGTACACAGGAATCAGATGTATACATATAAAACTATGGTGTATGACACTGAAGAGCATATGGCCTGATCATCATCATCAGACAATTCTATGTATACATACAGAACTATGGTTGACAACAATTATAGCATAGCACCACTTATCTTAAATGCTGAACAAACACTGTATGAATCTCGCATAACAAAATACTTCATTATGAGGCTCAAGTGACATACAGGAAGTGAGTTTACACATGTCCAAGATCTTATGACATCCAGACCAATTGAAATTACACATTTAGCAATTTTTTGTTCTCACCTGGACGTAATTCTCTCTTCACTTGAATAGAATTAAGTCCACTTGCAACTTTATTGAGTACATTTCAAAACATGAGGCTTCCAGTTTCTCGAGTTCTTTACTACCCCGCTCCTTACTACTGAACACAACAATACAAAGTAAATATCGCTAAGCATATTATCATCCGAGGAAAAATGCAGATGGATAGTAACTCGTCTTTATTTTATGGTTAAGTTAGAGTAAAACATAACTGCATATTTCTTTTTTGGATGATACAAAAAAAAACTTTGTAAAAGAAATTGAATGTAGCCCACAGCTACTTCACAAAGGCTTTGGCTTCAAAACAAGGATTCTCGTATCTACAGCTTAACTAAGGTTGCATAAAATGGATCATTTTTGTCAGAAGGAATTAAATGAGTCCTTCTTTGCTGCTGAATTATTACTTTATATTTCATTTACATAAGGTTTAATATTTGTAATTAATTCTCTATACAACAAATAACTTACATTAATATCCCTGCTTAGAGGCATAAGCAATAATTGACTTACAGAACCCGACAAAAATTGGTTACCATCTGCAAGACAACTAAATAAGCTGTAAACACACAATACCAGAGTGCTAATTTTGAGCACCTCCACAGGAACATCAAGACAGGATGGTGGCCAAAGACGGAGATACACAAGTGATTACAACCAAACAGATTAATACAACTTTCAATAAATGTACTATACAAGGCTAATTGTCCTTGAAAATGACTCTTAAATAACAAACTTACCATTAGCGAACGAGAATTTTTTTTCCAATATCTGTGGCCACCTGAGAATCCACCACATTACTGCCTTTGTGTTCCACAATATTCCCTCCATACTTGGGAAACATTAGTCTAACACATCATTTATTAATAAATAGTTTAAATCATCAGATGAATACCGGGCAAAGGTAGATACCCAGAAGTACAGGAAAGATGAGGACGATGAGGTTGCAAGTCCAAACCACAACGCCAAGATACACGAGATCCAAGTCTGAACCCTGATTGGTCAGTACTGTATAGGCTATCTGGGCTTCGAGTCGACCTTTCTGAGCTGTACATTGTCCGTGAGAGTTCAGCACTTGGACCAGAGCAAGTTACAATGGGGGTGCACTGTAACCATAACCTGATGGACATGATCAACCTACTGGTTACAATGGGGGTGCACTGTAACCATAACCTGATGGACATGATCAACCTACTGGTTACAATGGGGGTGCACTGTAACCATAACCTGATGGACATGATCAACCTATTGGTTACAGAAGTAAAGCTACAGTCAACCTCACTAGTGGCTGTTAATAAGCGGGCACTCTGCATACCAACTGCACTCACCCAAATAAAAAAAAAAGAGGTAAGTAATGATAAAAGTAAAAAATTGGCCAGCAATTTCAGCCGAGCCGTTGAATCTTGTCTTTATAGCTATCGAAATTGGAATCCATTTCCAGTAACCACTTAAAATTTTGCTTTCTTTTATCTACTTACTTCTGTAAGAAAATGTTTAATATTAAAATTGTACAACTTTGAACAGACACTTTGTACAGTTGACATTTGCCCTCCTAGATATTATTATTTTGTTTATGACTAAATATTAAATAGTTTGCATTCAGCTACAACAATCACATTCAACATTTTGAAAAATTAGTAGTGAAAAAAGACAAGTGACAATCCAGTTAGGTTATTACATGGGAAACATGACACAAACATCGTGTACGGGTTCACAACATATGTACAACCAGTAGTAGTAGGTTAGGAGACAAAAGACTATGGTTGAGAACAACCAAGAACAAGTTAAAGGATGTGGCTATGGCTGGAGAGCTGGTTGGTTACTACTGAGCAATGGACTCAAAGATAGTCCTCAACACAAACATTATGTACAAAGTCTTCACACTCACTTGGCTCACATGACTAACCAATTGATGCACCAGTCACACACTTTCTCTCTCTACTCTGTGTACAACCTTTCTCAAGTATACTTGGAAACTGGCTACATATTTAGACAATATTTAACACGATTACGATCCTACACAATGGCGAGAAGATTCATTGCGAGAGCTGTGAGTATCCCAGAGTCATTTCGACCGCATCTGCACGTGATTGGCCGTGTGATGCTGGGACTTTGCATGGTGAGTGCAAACTCCATAGCTCACTTAATCACCAGCGTCTTGTATCAGAGGGACTCAGATCTGGCAGTCTCTTGCATTTACACCTCATCTGGGGCCATGTCACAATTGTTGTTGACCGTGTTGGCAGAAAGAGTGCTTGGGGCCTGGCAAAATATGGCTGTGTTAGTTGGGTCGTTAGAATTTGGAATGAGATATCCAAATACTAGAAAGAAAAATGATTAAAAAGAGGAATTTCGCTGACAAACTATATTTGCGCACGTTATGAAATACAACAAAAACTAAAAAATATTAATGTTAGAAATATGTATCATTATCTATTTGATAACTGGTTAGAATTTCATTTCTTAATTATGAACAACAGAATTTGTATTTTTATAATGACACATGAAACACCAGGAAAATTAACGACAAAACAACACAAAGGACAATGCATTGGCAAATGAGGTGGGAGTCAAAAAAGGCACATGGCAAATAAGCCAACAGGCCATGGTGGTTGCCACAACTCATGCCAGGAAGAGCGTTGGGCCAACATAAGAAAGTTGGATGACGTGCCACAAGGGTAGTCGGTAGAGCTCTGGGCTCATGCACGCGCACTACTGAGGCCCTTACTTACATGCACCACATGACCTTGCACGGGTTGCTTCCTCACACAGTGAATTTTGTAACAAGATGTGACAGGCACCATCTCCTGTTGGTGGATAGATAGGGGCATCAACCCTTGTGCAAGTGGGTGGCAAGCTGAGCTTGGGGATACAATCTGGGCTCTTCCAACACATGCTGAAAGCTTTCTCTAATTTACACATTTTATGGTACTGTCTCATACCCTCATATCCAGGTGCTGCATTAAATTATACTTGCAATACTCAACTGTAATTTCTTAATTTATTGAAATACTTATCAAGAACAGTAAAATAGATCTGTCAAGTGTTTATCGTATTAAAAAAAAAATATATATGCCATGCCCAGGCTTGTATCCCCATGAAGAGAGTGCGCCACCTGGCCGGACTAGACTTGGACCAGGTAGGCTCCTGCCCCGTCAACACACCACACACTCTACTCCAACATTGTGCTCAAAAACTGCTATTGGTTGCCACCGTATTATTTCCTCTTGAGTAACTATCAATCTTTATCAATACAGTAAGTATTGTATCAGTATAGTCAATTAAAAAACTTTACTAGCTTGCTCTTTGCTTCATTTTATTAAATTTAAAATCAATGTTAACAAGCAAAAGTAATAATCACAAAATATACTGTATTTTTTTAGCAAAATTATTCTTATCAATCACTAATACATTTTATAGAGAAAATGGTTATATATACATATATATATATATATATAAAAAAAGGCTATTAAAATTTATACAGTACTCCACAAAAAATAAATCATAAAAAAAACTACAGTACTAGTTTTGAAACCTTGATTGGTAGCCAAATTTAATTCAGTGAAATACTTTTCTCAAATCACTAACTTCATGTTAAACTTTTGAATATAAATACAATACGAAATGTAACATTGTCGACAAAACTAAACTGTCAAAAAGGCAGAGAGAGAGAGAATGAGAAACAATGGTTCATTCTTATTTCCTTTTATGCAGGTCTTCAGTTCTTGCAAATGCCACTGAACCACCTACATTTCACACACACACACACTTGATATTTTATTTAAACATTCTTTACATCAAATTGTGAAGCTGGATGTAATTTCTATCCTCTCTGGAAACATCCAATCCTTGTGCAATGATGTCTTGCTATTCTCTCACTCAACGTGCGCAAGTCATCGCCGCGTCACATTATACTTCACGTTCTGTATCTCCTTGACTATCCAGTGCCTCAAATTTATTAAGTAATATTCACCCAACTTCACTAAAAAATTTCTTCACAAATACAAGTATTTGTTTTTAACTTCTCATAATTATACTGTAATGTCTAACTCTTATTAAAATTGTATATATACATTTAAATCTGTATATAATCTAAATCTGCTTTCTGGATGCACAGCGGCATCTGAACAGAGGGCGTGTGATGTACTCCCAACCAGATAAATCAAACATCCATAGAGAACTAAGGTGATCTAAAGTGTTCCTAGCTGGTTCTACTATTTGCTGTTTTATGGCAAATCTGTCACACATTTGTAAATGGTCATCTGTGTGTGACTGTTCACTTAAACTGCTTACTAGGATTCGCTGGTATAACTTTTTGCCTCATTTTATATTTTAGGTGCTGTAAGTTGATGTCGCGCAGTATGATGATGTTTGGGGTAGGGTTTATGAGATTTTCTAAGCAATATTCTTATTTTTCTAAGTTGGTCTTTAAACTGCTGAGGATTTGCATCTGGTGATTTATATACAAGGACAATCTGCACATTTAAAATTTTGTATTTCAATTATCAACACTTTTACCATATTGTTTGTGGTATTTAGCATGTGTGGTGTGTGGTGTTTAGCCATCAAACATTTTGGAGCTGGAAACGGGGACAGGAAAAGGGGCGAACTTAGCCCCCCAGGAAAGGAAGGTGGTGTGGACAGAACTGAGGTTGAATTAACCAACACCTCCAAATTCAGGTCCCTAAACACCAAGCGGGATAAATTCAGGGCATCCAGTTGGGCACACAACCTACACCGCTGCAACACAGAAAACTTCCTATGTAAAGCAGTTGCTGCCTGATACCTCTAAATTTCGAGAGAAGAGTGGATAAAAAGAGTCACATGTGGGAAAAAAAGTCCCACATGACTCAGGGTTGAAGATGCCACTAACCCAGAAGGCAGCATGGTGGAGGCAGAAAGTATGAACTTCATTAGGTGACACAGATGACAAACAACCCCCAAATTCGCACAAGGCGAGAGCGTGCTCGGAAGAGGTACCCATAGTACAACCGAACTCACAGGGGGATTTTCCCAGGCCTGCAGAGTGAGTGTTCCCTGCATGAAGCCCAGGTAGGTACTGGGAACACTACTCCAGTAACCCCTGTAGAATTGTATAGGCATTGGCTACCTGAAGCCAACAGAAAGGTCTAGGGGGCAACAAGGGGGTGAACTGCACCAAAACCTAGGGAAAGCCTAATAAGGAAAGTGGAAAATCCCAGGCTCTATATGCTACTTTCATGGAGCAAAACTTTGTCGAGATAGTTATATAAAGCTCATTTATATATCTATATACAGTATCATTACCCTCTCCACCTCTCCCCCCATAGACGGGGGTAATGCTAACGAGTTGAAGTGCTAGTTGCACGAAGGGTTGCTTGTCTGGTTTTTTCTAGGGGAGTTATTTTGATCTTTTTGGATGTAGATTGCACAGATTAACCAGACAGTGGTCCAGTTTGATTCGCCACCTTCCTGGGGCCTTCCCGGGCGATGGCAATTATGACATTTTAAATGTAAAGTGCTCATAAACCAATACTCCCTGTGCCTCTGAGGGGACCTGGTTCTGGCTTGTGGTTCTCGGTAGGCATAAGAACTCCTGTGACTGATAACCCCAAACTAATATAGCACATACCAGTTCAGATAGCTTCAGGGAGCCTCCGGGGCTCCCCACAGAAAATTTGATTAAAAGTAAATTTACATATTGTACTTCACAGTTATGTCACTGGCTATTTGACATTTTCCAGGATCTCCAGCACTTTAATATAACTTGAAAATTCACTAACTCTCAACTTTCAGGCTTGGTGCTTTCCCCAGGTAGTTCCTTCAACTTTCAGGCACTCTCCGACAAGTCAGTTTTCACACATCCCAAAAATACAGGTTTCATCATATTATTTGTCAAATACCTTAAATATTGCTCCAGTCATCCAGAACATGTTCAACACTGCCCCAGTCATCCAGAACGTGTACAACACTGCTTGTCATCCAGAACGTGTGCAACACTGCTTGTCATCCAGAACATGTTCAACACTGCCCCAGTCATCCAGAACATGTTCAACACTGCTCCAGTCATCCAGAACATGTTCAACACTGCTCCAGTCATCCAGAACATGTTCAACACTGCTCCAGTCATCCAGAACATGTTCAACACTGCCCCAGTCATCAAGAACATGTTCAACACTGCCCCAGTCATCCAGAACATGTTCAACACTGCCCCAGTCATCCAGAACATGTTCAACACTGCTCCAGTCATCCAGAACATGTTCAACACTGCCCCAGTCATCCAGAACATGTTCAACACTGCTCCAGTCATCCAGAACATGTTCAACACTGCTCCAGTCATCCAGAACATGTTCAACACTGCTCCAGTCATCCAGAACATGTTCAACACTGCCCCAGTCATCCAGAACATGTTCAACACTGCCCCAGTCATCCAGAACATGTTCAACACTGCCCCAGTCATCCAGAACATGTTCAACACTGCTCCAGTCATCCAGAACATGTTCAACACTGCTTGTCATCCAGAACATGTTCAACACTGCCCCAGTCATCAAGAACATGTTCAACACTGCTCCAGTCATCCAGAACATGTTCAACACTGCTCCAGTCATCCAGAACATGTTCAACACTGCTCCAGTCATCCAGAACATGTTCAACACTGCTCCAGTCATCCAGAACTTATACAACACTGCCCCAGTCATCCAGAACATGTTCAACACTGCTTCAGTCATCTAGAACTTGTACAACACTGCTCACCAATCTCAACAATTTGTTACCTTAAACAGTAAAATTTCTCCAGCATGCAACACTTCAGTTCAGTTTTCAAATGAAAAACCATCATCACCATCTCGTCAGACAGATAACACCAAAATACGAGGTATCTATTTGATAACATTTCTCCAGTCACTGTCTCTTTCACTCACCATCACCAGGGAAAATAACCACAAATATACCGTAGTCTTCTTGATTTTCTTTTACGTTTTCAGCTCTCCATTACTCCTCATTATTAAATTCACAGTTATTTTAAAGTAGTTTTAATATGTGTCAACATTTAGCTTCATTTAAAATGCATTTCACCCTGCTTAGGTGCCATGATCGGCAAGAGCACCGAGGAGCAATTCCTGTACACGTAATAGCGTTGCAGTTACAAAAGAAAAATCTCAAAAGGAGCTGCAGAACATGACAAATATTAGCAAATGCTATAGATATATTAATAATATACATAAGTACCTAGTAAAAAAGAAAATGATAGGTGTTGGGGAAAACAAAAGGGTCTCAATCAAAAACAAAAAGGTCTCAAATTTCAAAATATTCTAGCACAATTAAAGAGTAAAAATTGAAATCCGAACACAATGTACTCGTCTTTGACAACGGTTCAGGCAGAAGGCCAAGTAAGTGAGGAGGGGAGGAGAGGACCAGGAGCACCAGAAACACGTGCAGTATTGAGCTGTCAATTGCAAACCACTAGTAAAGGTTTCCAATACTCAAGAGTGTTTTTATGAGGACAGAGGTCAGAATTTACCAAAGATGAATAATGCATCTCAATCAGTTTTACGAGTATTGCAATACGTGAAATTTTGACAACAGTTTGCACCTAATAATGGGAGAAATTTTGATGTAGCAGTATAATAAAATGCTCAAGATCTTTAATTAGGAATGCATACAGTGTTTGATAAAATTCTAAGAATGTGCACGGCACATGCTTATATACTTGTGCAATAAAAGGAAACAAATCACATTACAATGAATACAACACACAAAGTGGGAAGACAAAGGCCAAATATCACAAAATACTTTGACCACTGACCCATGCAACAAATTCAAACCACTC